TGCCATAACTCCGTGTCCACCTCCCTCACACGTCAATGGTCTGTCCGTCCTGTCGCGTCAACTTCCTCTCTTGTTTTCGTTTCGTCAGACGACGGGTTGGTGTCACCAGCTCGAAGATTCACGAGTGAAACTCGATGTTTCCGAAGAACCGCCTCCCTCTCTTATACGTTTTGCTGTCAATGACGACAGAGGACGAAATATTCATTCGTTTTTTGCTTCGTTAGCTTATGCCAGTCACATTCAGTTATAAAATCAGCCGGAACGCTGAATGTCACCTAAGGTAAGGATACAAGATGAAGACCCACTGAGAAAATAGACTGCGGAGGGCGCTTTATTCGTAGGGTAGATGAGCGCGGCAGTTAACGGAATCTACCGGGGACGTTGAGAAAACTCGCATTTTTACCATATGTTTGCTTTATTAGCTCAAAGAGGTACCGCAACAGACAGCGCGATTTGAAAGATGCGAATTAGAGGCGTGTAGACGAGCGAAAAACGGGTAATCCAAAGTTACCGATCACTGGTGAAAGAAGACCAGATTGGATAAGATTGTACGCGGCAGGCAGACTTAACCACAACTCTTATCCCAACCGTGATCTTCAAGCTAGCCCTAAATCTAACCTTAACCCTAAGTTTGATTCTTTTTTAAACTTAATTAGAAGCGTAACCCTAGTGTTACATATGTACAAAAATCAAAGAAATGGGTATGTTGTAGTAATATCTATTCGTCGCACCGCTTACACATGATCCCCGCCGTTTTTTTCGGAAAGTCCACAAAGTTTGGTCGATTTTAGTCCGCCTGTTTCCTGAATACCTGACTTACGTGGCTTCTATTATTTTCGAAGTTTTAAATGGCTCTGCTGCCCACAGATTGTGAGGCGGATGACCTTGTTTCACCGATAACTTGATATGTGTGGAAAGTCGGAGAAAACCTTTTAAAATGGGTAGATTCGTAGGTGCGGTCTGGACTGACTTTCGAAAAGCGTCCAACCATCTTCCGCTCATATTTAAACCGCGTCAAATGAAGGTGTCTGAGGGTCTTCTGAAAGAACCATCTAATTTCCTCACAGGAAGATCTCGACGTATGCACTTGACCACTGTCTAGTCGGTTAGAGTGACTGTTCGCAATCGTTCTCAAACCCATTCTGGAATGTCTGAACTACTGTTTCAACGGATTGGGCTTTTTGTTGTTTATCCCAAGTCGGAGCAAGTTGCGAAATAATTTTCGATGAATTACAGTAGTGATGCGGTGAGTGGTTTCCAAGCCCTTATTTCCACACACACCTAGTTATCCACATCTGACCAAATAAGAGGGTGGCAGTAAGCTTGGACGCGTGTTATCACATTGAATTAGAATTAGAAGCAAGTGCAGTGCTGCTAGATTATGATGGAAATAGGACGTAAGCAAAACTAGAACCAAGCGCAGGCATTGAGGCGTCACGGTAGCGCGTTTTCAACCCCTTTCCCCCCCCAGAATTCGGGGCTTGCCTTGACGCATGCCATTTCAACGTAATCCCGTCTACTCAAAACAATTAAGTAGGTCAGGTGTATGGCTTTTACTAAAGGCGGCTGCAGGACCAAGCCTTGCCAAGTCATCAACTCGGAGCAGTTGATGGATTTAGGTACCTCTGTTTGTAGACGACTCCCACCTCCTCAAAGAGCCCTCTCACTCTGCCCAGGGTGGCGCCGAATGCTATTTGCACTCGTAGATTTCGATGAACAGCTCTTTTAGCAAGTGTCTGGAGCATTTATTTGGCCAGTTGTTAAATACTGCTCTCAAGGGTGACGCATATAGGTAAACCAGGCTTATGCTCTCTCGGAGACTGTAAACTGGTTATCGACGAAAATGGCAGAAAGAGTAGATTCCCTGTCGTATGAGAACCTATGAGAAAGGCCCACACTTTTTCTTCTTCTGTAGCCATTACGGAGATGATGTGAGCATGGATTTTTAAATCGTGAAAGGACTGAACTGCACATTTCAATTCGACGGCTTTTTTATCTGAAACCCACGACACACTTTCGAATTCACCAATATGAACTGCTGACAAAATATGTCAGGATGTGGACCCGATACAGTCTATTCTCTCATCAGACTGTCACATACTGAGATGAATTAGAGGATCCCCTTAGCTGGGTGCGAAACGTTGAGGCCTGATTCTACACCATAGTACCCGCCCCCCCCCCCAGTCTCCCGCCGAACGCATACTCAGTTTCCATGCCTTTATTCATAAATAGGATTCTCCGGGTTATGTGCCCCGTATTGGCTGATGCGCATCTCCCGAGCACCAAAATGCCTGAAACTACAAGCCAGCTGCCGTAGGGGTCTTCCTCAGACTATCTGAAAGTTGGCACTAAGAATCGACGACCACACTTCGTTGCACTATCCAGGTTCTGCACTTGAGCCCGTAATGATAGCCACCATTTATTGATTATCATTAGGGCAGTTTGAAAGGTGTGAACTAGGGCGCGTAGATGGGCAGAAAACAGACAATCCAGGGTTATTGGTTGAAAAATGTTGAAGATGGTGTGCGGGAGGCAAACCTAGCGCTAACCTCAACCCTCACCCCAACCCAAACCCAAACCCAACACTGACCTTAAACCCACTATTAACCTTAACCATAAATTTAATCCTTTCCGTGAGCTTAACCGGAAACGTCACCCTTACGTGTCACGCCCACTAAAATTAGATAAGTAGGCACGTGATGGTAAAACATGAGCTGACATCTCCAATCGGCCTTCATACGTTAAAAACCTGTCCGCCTGTCTTAGTTTTGGTGTTTTTTGCTTATGCCTGCCCGCTATGATCATATCAGCCTACTAACAAGCCAATCAGAGTTCTGACCTTGACTCTTACAGCCTGGGCTTGGGATGAGACTGGATGACAATGAAAAATAAGTTCAAAATGACCATTCCATTCTCCCTCGTCATTTTCCGATTACTGACTGCTTGTCGCTATTCGACCTCCTGTCAGGACGCTAGATCCGGATCTCCAAGAGAAAACGTGAGGACGGTGCGTCAGTCCGCAGTTATATTTTGTCGGCGAACTCCACTCATATCTCCTTCTGCCCGACCGTTTTCCAAGTTTTTAACTCATCGGTAATTCTCCTCGGTCTGGTACGTTCTCAACCAATTTGCTGCCCGAAGACTTGGGAAACTCGCTGGGGCCCTCTTTTGGTCTAAAACCTTGGCTAAATGCATCCCTGTATCCCAAATCGTACGATGCGG